TTTGCTCCTAGCTCTTACGGTGTCTTCACTGAATGTTTCAATAAAAACATTTCCAATAAAACCTCTGTGAAGCATCAGTATAAGAGACCATCATTCAGCCAGGGATGCTACAGCACAGGAAACGGGCACTAGCGAGGATACCAGGAGAGGCCCAACTTGTTTAAAAAGGATTGAGAGGATATGACTTTAAATTGATTACGGGGCTTGTGCCGGTATCAGTTTGTAACCTAATAGAATTTAGTGCCTTCAATAGCAAAAACAGTCCCTGAGTGAGCACAAACATAGAGCATGGTGGCTGTGCAATTTCATGCTCATCATCTGCTGACACCAATTCATGTACTCATAATATTGACCATCCTCATTAGCAATCTGAGTATACTGTTGTAATATCAGCTGGTACATGGGATGTGATGTGTCCAAAACAACCGCAGCTTTTTCCTGCCATTTTTCCCCAGTATTGCTCACACCAATTCTCCCCCTGCACCAGAATTTCACAGGGGAACACAAGGATATCCAGAGGTAGTGCCAACTCGGTGCATCCTGCCATTTTCATTTTACAAGCTTCATCTGCTGTGTCCTCTTAAGGCACCGCAAGCCCAATAAAATACAGTATCTGCTGCGTCTATGACCAGAGCAAAAAGCCTGGCCTCGGGCTGTTTCCCCACAGGATTATCAGTTGCTTACTCAAGCCTGTTTTCCACTCCGTTCATTCATGGCTTTACTGCAGAGCCTGTCAAAACTTCCTCACTCACTCATATTTTCGCACTCTATGACTAAATGTCAGCAGGTGTATTGCCCTTTGAGCAGAATATTCTTCAACATTCCCTAACTGTATCCTGACCACACGATAGGCTGGCTATTCACCCTGCTTGTTACTTGTAACACATAAGCTGGTTTTCTTTGATATCCTTTCATGTAACAGCTGCCTTCTGGCTAGGTCTAAAACATTTCAGTTGTTGATATATCTGTCAGTCCAAATTTTAAATCTAGCCATATAACACAACATATAACAAACCGAGAAAAAATTTCACATTTTTTGTGCCTACTCTTTGTCCTATGGCCATAATTCATTAAGAATTACGAAAAACTAAAAACCGAATCATAGTCATGACTTTTCCTCTCAAAACAAGCATTAATATAAGACAAATCATAAAACTCACAAATGCATTTTAGTATGGAGTATGTCCTCGTCATATAATATACAATATGGAAGGCTGGCTTTATGTTTCGTACCTGGATGGCTTAAACGAGGAAGATGTCTCCACTTGTGGGGCGCTGAACACCCCCTCTCCTTCCTCTCTTGCTCCCTCCACTGTCCCCTCCTCCACTCTCAATCGCTCTACGTAGCTTTTAGTTGGTGGTTTGGGGGGCCCAGAGGGACAAGGCCTGAGGTCACAGTAGCTCCCCGCTGTTTCTGAAGAATGTGATTGGTAGTTGGGATGATGGGCTGGTGAGGAGTGTGCTGAGTGAGAGGTACGTGGGGGAAATTCTGGAGGGTTGTCACTGGCTGAGGGGCTGACTTGGGGGTCACTGGAGCGACGCATCACAGGGGAGGGAGGGACAACAGCCAGGACCCGCCCACCTGAGTGGGCTCTCTGCCTGGTGACTAAAGAGAAAGAGAGAGAGCAAAAAGGAACCTTAAAAACTCCGCTTAGTGAGTTAGGGAACATGATTATGTTTTATTTATGCGCCTGAGTCTGTGACTGCCTGGTTACTTACTAGCACTATACGCTGGAGACAATGGGGTTTCCCCGACAGGTGACAAGGGGCAACGATACTCCTGAATCTGGTCCATGCTCATTGCACAGTTCCGCATTGCGTCTTTATGGTGGTGGATCGTCGACGGGCTGCAAACACAGCATTTTTAAAGAGGTGTTAAAAATCTTTGGTTGCTAAGGTAATATAGGGAACCTCATAAAACAGTGCAGCTCAGATTCAGATGACAGGAGTGGTGTGGTTAAGGATGTACGGATTTATTCTTGGTGAGAGAAAAGGGAGACGTTTTAGTCGTCATGATAAATAGATGTGTTATTTTCTGAGCAAAAATCAAGTTTGTGACTTAAGCAGGAGCAAAGACGTGGAGTACAGTTTAATCTCTTCTAAACTGGTGAAAAAAAATAGTTAAATAACGTTTAAGATTCACAATCGCCATTCATATCCAATTAAAACCGTTATCAGCAGTAACGCCCACTTTCAAAGCCAGTTATTTTATCCAATGTGCCTTACATCCATTTCATACAAATGAGGTCAACATGTTTTCACACTGTACACAACAACGTATTTGTCTGCTCCTCCTTGGTAGATTCAATTTCAAGTTTCAAACACCCTTTGTCGCTGAAACTTGACTGATCCAGTGCAGGACTGAATAAGACACAGTGCGCAGCTTCACTCTGAGGACTGATTATTAGGGAGGTGCTAATGGTGTCAGTGAAGTGAGGGGTGGGGGGCTTCAGGAATGTGAAAGGTAAGTGCTCTAACTCTGTGCTCAAAAACAACACCAGTGCCACAAACAAACACACACACACACACACAACCTGCAGTTGGGCACAGGTTCCGGCTCTGGTTCTGGTGTTGCCACTGGTGTCTCAACTGGACTTGGACTGTCTGAGTCACTAATCGTGTATATAACATAAAGCAACAATGACGTTACAAGACTGCAGAACATCATCAGGATTTTATTATCATCTGTCCAACAGGGGGTGTTTGCGGGTTGAACAGCATCTCCGCTTAAACACCGACCTGACTCCCGGATCACTCAGCTCACCTGTGAGGTATGATCTTTTCAGTTGTCAGCCCATCGGTCATAGTGACACTCCTCCTCTTGATGTACGCTCCCCTCTGACTGGACGGTGAGTAGGCAGAGCCTTGCTTGCTGTTGGAGAGGGCAAAAGTGGCTTCTAGGTAGCGCAGAGGGAGAGTTCTGCTTACTGGACAGTAGATGTGGACGCCGCTGGACTGGGAGACCGGTTTGCGTTGACCGACGTAAAACCGCACAAGCTCTTGTACTGAGTCGAAACTATCAGACTCCAACATGTACTGCACCTGGAGAGGAGGAAATAAGAAATTGTGTCACGCACAAAAGCCAACTATCCCTCTAAAACTCAGTGTATACACCTTTAAAAGTACAGTGCGTAGAAGAAGCTGGTAAGTGCTTCAAAAGAAGAAGAAGACCTCAATAAGCGGTGTAGCAATTAAAGCTTGGAAACAAAAACTAACTGAGGCACAGCTGGTCAACAAGGCACACCTGTGCCAAATTAGCCTCCACATGTAATTATCTCAGTCATTAGAGGCAGCAAGAGAAAATAAGCCTTTCTAATGGATGGATTTGGCATGCACATAAACACAAATAAAACTACAAAAACACCATTCAGATTAATATTGCAGGTACAACACGATTGTTTGCACGCAGGTTTGACGGTGCTCTTAGTTGAGCTGAAAATGGGAGGAAGGCGCCAAATCGGTAAAGACAGAGGACACGTTCACAGGTCATACAAGGGTGAAACTTGAAGATGGATGCACGGATTCCATTCTGATGCCATCACTGGTACTGTGCATGCTGACTCAGTGGGAAAACTCACTGAGGCATCTAAGTGTAACAGAGCCATTGTTAATGTTATTAGTTACGCCTGTGCTTCTCCTGCTACCATCATCAGGGGACTTCATGCAACTTAAAAGACCAGTGGTAGCTTTTTGTGGTTGTCTGATCTTCGACGACTAAACAAAAAGACATTTAAAGTACAATCCAACAAAATAAACAGGGATTAGATGATGTTTTAAGCAGTGCCGATTATTAAGCCCCTAAAAGAAGAATATGTACCTTGGTCTCACTGGATTTCACCAGGACTTTACTAATCTTGAAGTGTAGCACCTCATTATCCCACCGACAGGTCAGAACATAGTCACCCACGTTGAGCAGAGAATCGCGCACAAGGAAGTCTCCATTGCGCAAAACCAGAGTCTCTGATACCTATAGATGGAGAAAAAAAAATACAGAAAGGATGGTTTTAAGCTTGAAAGCAAGACAGCTCACTGATCTGAGCTACAGCTTGTGTGTGAACGTTTAGTTTCTGACACTCTGGTTGTTGAACAATTGAATTTAGAGGATTGTGATTATTTATAACAAAGCCTTAGGACAGTTTGTGTTCCTGAAAATAAAACAACTATCTGTCTAGCTGCCAAACTTGGCTGCCGTGCTGCTAAGGAAAGTTTGATTTCGCCATGAAGGATAAAATAATTGATTTTCTTAAGATGCATTTCAGAGTTCAGCACTATTTGTAAAAAAAAAAAAAAAAAAAAAAGACAAAGTTATTCTTAAATTTTATTGACAAAACAAGCAATCCAGAAGCATTGTTAGTGTTAGTGAAACACCTCTGGGCTGTACATCTTGCTGTTACCAAACACTGCAGATGGTTTCTGTGAGAAGAAATCACAAATATTGATCTAGTAGCCACACAGCAAGGAAAAAAAAATATTTCAAACTCAGCAGTTTTCCCTTTACAGCAGCCTTCAAGGAGGGAGAGAAAGCAGAATGTGCAAAGCTTTAAATTCATTCAATAAAAGAAATCAAGGCACAGAATATGAAAGGCAACACAGTCCAGGGTTAGCAGTGTCAGATACCAGCAGGAGGCAGTATAAACACAGGTCAAAGGCTCAACAGAAGGGCACAATATTCTTTCTCTACCATTTTCAAACATACCAACAGTATAGATTTAAAAGGATATTAACAAATATGTCTAAAAGGAAAGCCATATTGAGCAATAAACTAGAATATAACAAAAGGAAGATGATCAAGAAGGAGGAACGGGATCTATGAAAGCTAATGTACAGTAACCATCCACAGGGTGCCTGAGATCTATCCACTAGGCATTGTTTTGTAAGCAGGGGGCTGGGGTTTCCCCAAGTTTACACTGGGGTAAATCCATGAATAAATGAATATTTTATGTAAATCAAAGAGGAAAGACTCACAGATGGTTGATTTGAATCTGTGTTTCTATGTGTGTGTGTGTGTGTGTGTGTGTGTGTGTGTGCATAAAAAGGAGACAGAGGTTGATCAAGAGACAGAGGTCGTCTATGAAATACTCTCCACATGTGCATGCAGTGCATCAGAGTCTGTGGCTGTGTGTCTCTTTGTATCTATGTTTTAGTCACCAGCTGTGAAATTCAATTGCGTACATCAGCAACACGCGCAGCTGTCTGTTTGGCAGAGATTCCCTCCTCCTCAATGCTAAAGCAATTTCTACTGAGCTGTGACAGATGATGGGATTCATTAATCAGTGTCACTCTGTGTGTAAAGCATTTAAACTGGGCTTTCAAAGCCATAACTTTGGCCAAGTAATCGCTCAACTAACACTACTGGATGACAACCCACTTCAACCCACAACAAAAAACACAACAAAAAAACCACTCCAATCGCTTCACTGAAATTCTGAATGAATTGGTAGTGAGGGAGGTGGGGGGAATACAAACCATGGCAGCATTAGATCATTAACTTAAAAAAAAGAAGAAGAAAGATTCATACTACGCATCCAAGAGGCTGTGGCATAAAGCCTGAATCAAAACTTTTTCAATCATATCATAGAGGGTTTCTTGATAACTCCATTCTTAAACAGAGTAGTCAAAACAGCTTTGGTGTGATCGAAGCGAGTCAGTTTACAAGCTGCAGCTAATCTTTGAGGCATCTTTGCTCTGATTCTGTCCCTGATAAAAGCACAAAAACAGAAGGTAAGCTAAAGTTAGAACACTAATTTGTAACACAACAGTTAAAGCAGGTTCTGCAGTTGAGAGTGTTAGTTATCACAAACAGTGAGACTGTGTGCAGGTACTGCATCAGAAGTTGTGGATTAACGTGGATTAAAATTTCTTTCCTTTTTTTAAACTTTTGATTGGGTGGACAAAACACACAATGGGATTGCCAAATTAAAAGTTCAAAAATGCACAAGTGAAATTTGCAAATTGCTCGGTTAGTACAAAACCCCAAAAGCAAAAGGTCTTCAAAGTGCAGCCGGTGATGCTGCAGTGACGGCTCTTGGTAGGATTTTATGCAGCCTGCAAGCCCAATACTGCAAGTTTTATTCATTTGCAGCTTGAGACATACTATAATGCCGTAAACAGAGCAAGACCAGGGGGAAATAAGTTGTTAATATAATGTTCCTAATAAAATATACAGCCCATAACAGCGATCCGTCTAAAGGTTAAAAAAGTAATAAACCAGAATAAAGGAAAACTTGCATAACCTTCCAACATAAAAAACAATAAAAACCTTCAATAAAGACTTTTGATTTGTGCATTTTCCCCTGTGCGTTCCTCACAGAGGAAAATGCACACCTTCATAAACTGGCAATCAGTTTAGTCAATTTTCAACTGCATGGATTGACAATGAAAAGTAGGCAACCCCTTACATGTATGAGTCATTCTTTTAGTTACATTTATGTACCAGTATATTACCATGCATATATTCGGGACTTTCAGTGTTGCAAGTATAAAGATTCTACATTGTGCTTCATGAAGTTTATACCTCTCTTGGTATGTGTCCATGGTACCAGCCATGGCTCCTGATGTCAGCAGGGCTCAGTTTCAGCTCCTCCTCTAGTTCTTTGCGGAGTTTCTCAGGAGGAGACTCCAGCAGGTACTTCTCCTTAGAGAACTGTATGAACAAAAACAAGAGAAGAAAACCAGACATCAGTTAGGGGTGAACTTGTAGCTTGTACAGTGTACTTGCATGGAAAAAAAAGATAAGAGGAAAAGTCTATACATGTCTTATTTGGCAAAACCCCACAGAGATTAAGATTTATTTACAAAGGAGATTTGAGTTCATGAATATATATATATTTAAATTTGAATACAAGTAACTGTATAATCTAAATAGTATGATAATGTAATATGGGTGTACGGTTAAACAAAGCATCTTTTCCATAAATACGCAGACATGCACAAAAACACACACTTGGTGTTACAGAAGGCAACACTGCAGGGAAGCATCACTGTGTGCTGCCTCCCACACAAACATGCACGCACACACACACACACACACACACACACACACACAGAGCAGAAACAATCCGATCGACCCTGACCTGATTACTAAGAGGAAGAAATCATCATGAGCGAGCTCTTATTATTCTTATGTATTATAGAGACGTTGCTTTAGTCTGTGCAGCCTGAAGTGCAGCCACTCAGGAAGTAATTTGTGTTTCTGCAATATTACAAAAAACCCACACATTAAAACAAATGCGTTACACAAACAAATGGAACATGATTCACTTTTCAAAGTCACGTATTTCTTTACAGTAAATGACAAGTGTTTGATTACGTTAATTTTTATCCACATAACATAAAAAATTACTCCTCATTTGAAACTAAATCACGAAAATGCTACGTGCTAAAGTACTCTACTATTTGCTTAGGTGAGGAAGAAAAAACAAGGGAAATCCCACACTGGGATGCGTGGGTAATGTGAAGACACCATAAGAAATGATGATTGTCGAAAGATTGAGGTCAGACAAGCGACCAGAGATGATTAAAACAGAGGATGCACATGCACAAATGTGTGTGCGCAATGCTTGCACAAATTTGCACAAAGGAAAACCACACAGGAGTAAACACAGTAAAAAGGAAATCATCTTGCCTCTGCCAATATGAAGAGAAATGAGACTAGAGACCAAAATAAACAGTAAACAGCCTTGTCACTAAGGCTAGCCTGTCGTTCCACCTAATATTTTCCCTCAGTCAGCCTCTCTTCTGTTCGGGTTCAGTGTTTTTCATCTACTTTCTCTCAATTACTCTTTTTCCCTCTTGCCCACAGTTCCTCTGTTCATTCCCCACAGTCATAAAGTTTCAGCAAGACTGTTGTCTGACTGTTGTGTGCGACAGGGAAGCAGGCAGAGACAGCAAGTGTGTGCGAGTGAGGATGGGAAACTGATGATCTCTGTGTGAAGAGTGGGTTGACTGTGTGTGTGAGATACAAAGAGCCAAAGATTCAATCTTATCGTCTCCAGGTCACTGCAAGATGAAATTATTAACTTCCTCCAGTCCCCACTCCTCTCTCCATTTTTTTTTTGCCTTGCTTCTCCAATCCTCCAGGGAAGATGGAGGAATATCACCATGGAGCCTCACTCTCTCAGATTAGATCCGAGGTGTGTATGTGTTTTTGTGTTTATGTGTGTGTGAAGGGGAGAAGAGGCCAATAAAAGAGCAGAGGGGTCAAGTGTGCAGTTATTGCTTTTCCTTGTCTCCGTGGAAACCCATGAGAGGCCTGCCACTGAACTGATGCTCAGCAATGGATGTTGTGTGTGTGTGTGTGTTGTGTGTTTATATATATGGGGTTATGAGCGAAATTGAAATGTCAAGAGGGCTCTGTTTATGATACAGTTCATGGAAGAGACTCACATTAGAGGGACACATTGACAGAGAGACCAAAGAATGGACAGACAATAAACAGCATTAGATGAGGGACGCAGACACACAAAAACATTGGCTTTACTGTATTCTAATATACCAAAAACACACGCACTTATCTAAATCATGACATACATCTAGTGCAGTAGAAATTCTCTTTGCCGTGGTGCCTTTGTTCTTAGAGCTTTTCTAGCTTTTAAAGCCACTTTTTAAGAGTTGTCGCTGCCATCAAATTCATAATGTGCTAATATCTTTCATAAACAGTTTTTTCCATACACAGTACATCAGTCAAAAATGGTGCCGAAGGAAAAAAAAAACAAATAACACAAATACAAATATAAGCAGTGCTCTCTTACTTGAATTTGCTGTTGGTTTAGCAGCTTCACAAAAAGTACATGAACCGATTTCCTTTGAAGGATGTGTACATACTGAGCACGAATTCCTCAACATAACAGTCATATAGGACAACAACAACAACAACAACAAAAAACTAAACAAAAACAGACTAGTTGCATTATGAGCCAACAGGCAGACAGACAGGAGGAGAACAGAAGCCACCACACAGCAGGAACAGTCAGAAACAGACAGACAAAACAAGTAGCATACATAAAGACAAGACATCAGACATTCAAAAAGGCACAGAGGCAGACAGACAGACAACAGAAACTCATTAATGTAGACAGCGAGGCAGACTTGCAGGGAGACAGGTAGCCCATTAGGGGATGAGAGAGTTTGGGCAATTTAGCAGCTGATGCAGGACTTTGCTTCCCCAGGGGGTTAGGAGAGGGAGAGGGATTGGTGTGTGTGTGTGTGTGTGTGTGAGTGCATGTGCACGCACAATTCCAATGTGTGTATCTGTGCATTCATCCATGTGACTGCGCAATCACACACATGTGTGTATGTGTGCATAGAGTAAATGTGAGTTCTTGGGTGGCGCTTTTAATGGTTGGGGTTCTGTTCTTGAAGGAGGCCGAGTTGACGAGAAAGTAACTCGGGCTTTAAAAAAAGATAAAAGCACGGTTAGGATAAGGAGGGTTTCATGGAAGTGGTGTATAGCTTGAACATGACTAGGGGGAGAGTCAGGAAACAGGCGATAGGGCTTAAGGTTTTATGTGTGAAAATGAGGTACAGATAACAACACAGTGCAATCCATCACCTAATTTACACCAACATGCACTTGAGCCACTGCTCCTCACAGCAGGCCAATTAGACGGTTTCATCTCATGACATCACCGCACTCTCCCAGAGTGAAAATTGACACCGCTATCACTCAGCATCAGTGGGAGAGAAAAAAAAGAACCACCCAAAAAGAAAATGAAAGAGATGATAATGGGGAGAAATGCTAAATATATGCACATATTTATACATATATTATGCATGCACACTATTTTTGTTGTTTGTGTGTTTGGTTCTATTCTGCCTGTTAATACAAAACTGGATATTTCCTGCGTTTATTATTTTTGCTTTCAAAGATCATTTTCCAGTTAGTGTCCAGTGTCCAAAATATAAACAACTCTACAAGTGGAAGTGTGGGTATGGTGATGTCAGGTCAAAAATATAAAGCCACAGGTATTTACAATGCAAAACACAGTGGGGTAGAGCGTTAACTCAGGCACAAACCAGCGTGTCGCTGTTTGTGCTTGAAATCGCTTCTTTGCTAATTTTTGCTGAAGGAGCACAATGCCAAGTACCTCGAGCAATTTGAAGTGATACATCTACAAACAAACAACACCAGAAACGAAGCCATCAGAAAGAAATGAAACGGAAAATGTTTTCTGACAACTATAAAAAAAACCTTCAGGGGAATAAAAATAAAGTCCCTGGAATTTAGCAGCGTGGATGTAAGGTGGGAAAAAACCAAACAGAAGGACCAAATTCCAACAGGCACAACCACCGACAAAGGGATGAATGCACTCTAAACAGACTGCAGCACTTGGATCTGAGCTCATGTCAGAATAAACCTCCTTTCTTTTTCAGCAAGTGTCCTGGCCTCTCACCCCACCGTCATGGTAACACTCTGAGCTGTGGTGGCACTGGCGGTTTTAGCAGAAGGGGTGGGATCCCACCTCATCTGCACACACCAACTCTGAGGTCAGGGGTCCAATTCCAGAAGAACCTTTTTATTCCTTGATCCGCTTTCTTTTCCTCCTCCTCACTGCTTCCCTTCAGCCACATCTCCTCTCACTGGAGCCGATAGAGACCCAGTTCATCGTATAAGTAGCCGTCAATCCTCCTATCTCCGATTACACACCCCCACCCACTCTGCCATATACACATTGTAGGGGTTTATGTGTGCATACGTGGCCAATATCACCCCACTCCAGCCGGCTGTAATCCCTCTGTGCCCTCCAGCCTGATCTCCACTGTTATATTCACGCTGGTTCTCATGGGTGTAGTAGTCTCTAAGTCGCATGTAAAATGATATGAGCATTAGAGGGGAAGGGCAGGTAACACAAGCATTCTTTATTTTTTCTGAGCAAGGTACGATCAGCGTTGAATCAAAGCTAATTCAACTGCTTTTGCAATGATGCAATAAAGACGGCTCAAAAGTGGATCTGATAACCTCGTTTGCCAGTTAGAAAGTGAAAAAGAAGCATGGTCTGTGTGATGTGTAGCGGCTTGCTCAAATGTTTTAACCACATTATCTACAACGCACGTTAAACTGCTCTAATCACTCTCTGACAATGCAGTCAGAGAGGATTGTGCATTAATTAGAGGAATACTCTATCGTCTGGTGACTAATTAAATATCTGCTCAAGTCAAAAAATTAAAAAACAAAAATGCAATGATAAAAAAAAAAAAATTACCTTTTTTGAGCTGACCTTGATTCAACCAGAGCCCAAACCTCTGTAACATTTAACAGGAATGAACCTTCTTAACATTTTTTGGCAGTGTGCCTGGGATTTTGTCAGACTAACAGCTTTTACAATTCATCTTTCTCTTATAAGCAAGCTCACATACCATTCTCATGAAAGAGTCAGACACCAACAAAAAGAAAAACAGAAGAAAGAAAAGAGGTTTGCTTGTAGTTTCCCCATTTCAGTTTAACACAATAAGTTTTCTTATTATGTTAAATAATAAGTGCTGTAGCTTGCTTGGCTGAGCAGGCAACCCCCATACTACAGGAGAGACCTGGGTTCAAGTCTGCCAAAGACCATTTCTATCATGTTATCTGCCCCAAATCTATACCTGCTGTCCTGTCAACTCTGTGAACCATCATGTTGAATAAAGGCTAAAATCCTAGGATAC